TCCTCGTCGCGCTTGATCCATCTGAGGATCCGTTGCCAGGCGTTGGGATTCTAGAGGTGGCTCCCGCCTGTGGCGTAGCACTTTGTCTCGCATAGCACTTAATTCCCGATTTCCGGCTGGCAATGGTCTCTGATACCATTTGTAACGACCCGGGTCCCACTTAACGGGCTGTCCTGGCCGTTAGATCGACGACGTACTGTCCTCACTGTACCAACATGGGTCTTTTCAGCATGCTTTGTCCTCACTCGCACGCTCCCCGAGAAAACTTCCCAGGGGGTCACCCATCATAGAATTGCTCCAAGTCAAGCACGCTTAACTGTGGAGTTTCCAACGATGGACTTCCGGAAAAGAAGGTGCACCTTGTGATATGAGTAGTACCTATCAAATCTCTTAAACTTTCTTGGTTTGGGGTATTACAGTTTACATGCAAAATATTTTATTGTGTAAATGTGTAGTTGAAAATGAGTATGAAAATTAAAGAGTTATGTTTTAAAGGGACACAAACAAGGGCAAAATTTTGTCCACAACATCATCTACTGTGGATGATATTATTAGAGACCATTTTGTTTTCTGCTTAATTTGTTCTCTGTCTTATGTATACTTCCTTCGCCGTTTCATTGGAAATTAAGTTTTTGTTCTGTTTCCCCGGAAGTGAGAATATCTGCCTTTTGTTTTTGGCTGGTTCCATACAATTTCTTTTCTTTGAGCTTCTTAACTTGCAATAGTGTCGAAGACATTCTCCAAGTTCTCATAGTCTTTGCTGTTGAGTCACTGGAGTTAAATTTTGCCCTTCTCTTTCCAGAATGCCACATTCTTCTTCGAGTTTTGCCTGTTCTTGTTGTCTTAGCAGCATCATCAGAGAAAGATAGCGAGTCACTTTATAAGAGAGTGAAAATCAACAGATTGATCAATATATTTAAGGTACATTAGTTCAACATATCCATTGAGTCTGCAACTATTCATGCTAAAAGATTTGCCCTCTATACATTGCTAATTTGTATTACATTTCAAATTGATGCATCTCTAATTTCTTCTCTTGTTGTGTAGAACAATCCAGTGATCCCTGCATTTCCAGACCTTCATCTATCTCCGGCAGCAATATTGAAAGAGTTGTCTACGTACTTCCCAAAATTTTCTGCACAATCACGTCTCCTTTCTCTTCTTTCACCTCATGAGCTGCCACCCCGTGAAGCACAAGAATATCCTCAACACTTTAGTTTTCCTTCATCTATATGTGATTCTTAGTTACTGTCTTATTTTGAGAAAATATAATATATTGTTATTTTGTGGGTGTTTCTGAATCTCAATCACAATTAGCTTGTGGTTGCTCTGAAAATTTTTCCCCAATTCCCCCGAAACATTAATGAGATGAAGGTTTTGAAGCAATTAAAAATTTAATGCGTTTCTTGCGTCTTTTTCTAATAGTATTGTAAAATATTTGAGGTGAAGGAAATCTATCACTGAATGATATAGGTTCTTGACAAGTAACCTGACTCCAACTACACTAATAAACTGGAGCTGGACAGATAAGTAGAAAGTGTGTAGTGGCAAATTCTCTTTTCATTTAATTATCTTTTTGACGAAGATGATATTAAAGCTGTTAGCAATACTTCCATGAAAGCAGATCTATTATGCGATATGCACATAGATATTGCTTCTAATTGTATGAAAGCATGTGATTTATTTAATCATTCCATGTATTCATTATTATTCACTGTTGTGCAAGTAATTATATTCTTTATGAAATGTTGGTATTTCTCTGCTGAACTGCTTACAACTAGTAAGGAAAGATTTCATCCTATACAGAAAAAAGAAGAAAGGAAAAACAAAGAGAGGTAGTATGAAAGCTGTTCCTTGACATAGTTTACTTATCAGCGTCACTATCTAGTAATCAACCACATTGGGTCAATCCGCACAGAGCATGATGATTTCTCCATACGCTTTGCTTCTGCTATGAATCAGGTTCTGTCCCGATCTCTCTCTCTAGTGTTCTCGTGTGCACCTCATGGAGTGTATTCCCTATCGTAGATTTGGGGGCAATTGCTAGTGTTCAAAATTAATCTATGTGATTTGTATGTGAACAAATGGAAGAAAAAGAGGACGAATAGGAGTGCGCTATACTACAAGTTGGGAGCACGTTAGTTCAAATTGAAAAATCGTGAAATAAATTAGCCGTCACCAGAATCTAATTGCTTTCAAAAATTAACTTTCTTCTATTATTTTGTCTAATGTCTAACCAATGCATATGGTCAATTCTTCTTTCGGTTTAAAGGTTCGATTGATAGCTGTTCCATATTTCCCTTTTCTGCAGCTCATGTTATTGAGATCAATTGAAGGTGCAGATTTGGAGTGGGCAAAGGAAGTAAAAGGAAATATTTATGATATGGTTGTTGAAGGTTTTCAACTCGTAAGTAGATGGACTGCTCGTGTATGGGAACAGTGTGCATGGAAATTTTCTCGCCCATGCAAGGATCCTGTTTCAACGGAGCCTAATGAGAAACCAGAATCATTTTCTGACTATGAGAAGGTTCATTTTGATTTCAACATATTCTTTTTTGTTGACTGATTCTGCTATATATTCCTTCCTATAACATTAGTGATGACCTATATCCTCATGTCTTGCAGGATTCACTTCCATATTTTAAATTTGTTTTCTATTTCGAACTCTAGCTGAACACTGCAACTCCTTTCATTATTAACTTCAGTCAGCTGATGATGAAGCTGTTTTCAATTTTTCTGTAGGTGGTACGATTTAATTATAGTGCTGATGAAAGGAAAGCTTTGGTTGAACTTGTGAGCTACATCAAGAGCATTGCATCAATGATGCAAAAGGCCGATACATTGGTAGCAGATGCCATATGGGAAACTATTCATGCAGAGGTCCAAGATTTTGTGCAAAATATATTAGCCACTATGTTGCGGACTACGTTCCGGAAAAAGAAAGACATGTCTAGGTAGGCACCACCATTATTTTTGTGAATTTTGTATCATGTCAGACTTTCAGCAATAGTTTCTTCTATATAACTGAATCTTGCATTTTGACTTGTCATCTTTATAACCAAGTGTAATGACTAAATGTGATGTGTCATGTGAGTTTATTTTGATTATCAATTTTTTCTTAGTGCATGTACATTGTTCAATTTAAGACCAATAGGTGAGGTCTTGTAGCCCATGTTCCCTACATGTACTTTTATCACCTGGTTGTCTGATTCGTGAAACTAGTGTATTTTACACCCTCAAGCTCAGGAGAGTCATACTTACATATGGGCCAAACAATGGTCACTGACACCCAAAGGAATGAAGCAGGCCAAGAATAGGTGGCTTGTACTTATCCGATATATGTCTCACAAGCCTAGTATTCTATTTTCTGGGGGTCACTCTGAAAACTGGGAATAACAGAATAGTGAGAGTAATATTCTCAAACTTCTAGTATATTATCATTTTGAAAATTCCCATAAATTAGGTGTATGATATCAACGTTTTTCTGTTTTGCGAAATTTTACAGTTTGGAAGTGTGGTTGACTGATATAATTATTCATAACCTTAATGCGCTTGGACATTCAATAGAAGGAAAGTTGTCACTAATGGATCCTTTTATTAATCACTGTTCATTGGCATATCATTATATTGAATGATAAAATTTTCTAAGAGCTTAAGCTATAAGAGAGGAAGGAATTTATAGTATACTTATTTTTTTTGACAACTAGAAAGAAAGGAACTTATTCATTATATACTTTTCAACACACCCCTCACATGTAACCCCGATGCATATTTTTTGAAGGAATGACCTGTTAAAATTTCATAATGGGTAGCAGTGCTGTCTGCTTTGATACCATTTGAAGGAACAACTCATCTAAAATAATTAAATTGTTATGCTGGAAATGAATTTTTTTATTTGAATTAGATCTTCAACATATTATTTGACTGCATTATTGTAGAATTTCCTATCTCTTTACCAATTTGTCAAGTGATATTTTTGCTCGTCAGTTTTATATGTATAAAAGTGAATCTTTCCTTCTGTTTTTTCACAATTGATTTTGCTGCAAATAGAGAGGGAAGAGTAAAGGACAAAGTAGATGACTGAGTGAAGATTTCTTCTGTTCTAAGTTATTAATGCTTTGTTGCTTTGGCACAATCAAAGCGTTTTGTTTGTGGAATGATGATATCAAACTTTTTAGTGTACCTGGAACTACTTCCCAGATCCAGTATATCGAAGAAAACCAACCAACTTAAAAAGCACATTTGTTTTGCTCTGCTGGAAATTAATAAACTATTGAAAAAATTTAATTGAAAAAATTTATTATTGCTCTAATGGTTTTTAAAATATTAAATTATTAAATTGGTTAAAAATATTAAAATATTGTATTTAGTCCTTTCTGCTCATTTGCATTTTGTTGTTCTATAAATACTGATTTTATCAAACTACAGTTTAGCACCACTGACCGCCAGTGAAAAAAAATAAATTAAAATAAGCTTAAGACTCCTGTAATGTTGAAGCTATTGTATATTTAATTAACTTTTGGGATGGGGAAATATCATATTGGTGAAGGTCATTTCCAGTATGCACTTCTAATTTAGCTTGAAGACATTCGTATAAAGAAATTGGGATCCTTCAGATGAAAGCTTCTTGGCCTCTTCTAATAGATATGTGGTTTACCTAATCTTCTATTTTCAGGATCCTTTCTGATATGCGGACACTTTCAGCAGACTGGATGGCTAATACTAGCAAGCTTGATTCTGATATGCAATCATTCCAACAGGGAGGTGAAGAAAACAGAGGGAACTTTTTCTATCCACGGCCAGTAGCACCCACGGCTGCACAGGTTAGTCTACACTAGACGTGCTCAGATATTTATGGGTAGAGTGCTATTATATTTATTTTGAAGTACATGTTCTTATCTCTTTGAATTTCTTTGTTTGTAAAGAAGCAGATAGATTTTTGGGCAAAATGAAATTTACATTGTAAAGCATACTTGAGTTTCATACGACTTCATGGTTTTGTTCCAACCCTTTACCCTCTGAATTTTGTAAATCTTGCTGTTCAGTTGTTGTCATTGATTGCCATGTTGATTTCTAACTAAATGTTATATGTGTGTGTTTTGTTTCAATTTGTTGGAATTTCCCTTTGAAGGATTTCTTCTTGAGATCTTCCATTGTGGTATCAACTGGTTAATATCATGATGCGCGTGTTTCTATCTATTTACCCTTGTTTCATGTTCCACAGTATTTTCAGTTTGTCATTTGTTAAATATAATTATCTTTGAATTTCATTTTCATAACAGTAAAGTATTATTTGATACAAGAATCCCTTGAAATCTTAAATATTTGACATATCAGAATCTCTCTCTCTCTCTCTCTCTCTGACAGGTTCACTGCTTGCAATTCCTGATATATGAAGTGGTATCGGGTGGTAACATGAGGAAGGCTGGTGGTCTTTTTGGAAATAGTGGTTCTGACATTCCTGCCAATGATTTAAAACAGTTAGAAACTTTTTTCTACAAGCTCGGGTTTTTCTTGCATGTATTAGACTACACAGGTTTGTGGAAAGGCTCAGTTATTAGATACTCATTTGATCTTCACTACTGTGATCTCTGCTGTGGCATTTAATTTTCTAAGTATGTCATAATAAGACCTTATAATGATTTTTGTATCTAAATAGTAGGGAAAGTGTCCATTCTCCAGGCATCTTTTGAATAATTCTTTGTAACTTCAAGTTTTACCCTTGGTTCTTAATCATATCTAGATGTGGTTATTTGGCTTTCTTAGGTTATTAGATCCTTCTTGAATAGCAGGAGGTTAAGATGAACAATTGTATCTGCCCAGAATAAGGCATGCGAAACAATTAACTTGATCTGCTCCTTACAGACTAAGATAGTCTCCTTGACATGTATAATCAACAATCTTACTAGCATCAATTTGTGAATTCTGCTACAACAATAAAAAGCTAAGCCTTATTTCTAACAAACATAGTGTTGCTAATCCTTTTCCACTTCCTCTTCCTTCCAATGCTACATTTACCTAAAGTCCAATGAAATTTCCCGGATTCTCTTACATTTTGAGAAAAACCTTAGTGATCTTAGTATAAGATAGTAGTGATTTGAGGTTAGTGTACCCAATAATAGTTGAACAAAGTATCTTTAGTCTATGTATAGACTGATGTTTCTGGTTTATAAAATGATTACTGTTTAAAAATAAAAAATGTTTACAGTAAATCTTGTATTCTTATATCCGTGAGATGTCCTCTTGCATCTTTCCATTTTCATGGTTTCTCACCATCTAATCTGTCTAGAGACCAACCAAATTTAGCATGTCAGGTATTTTCATCCCATGTTACTAGAGAAAATAACATTAGCAGCGGAATGAGGAGCCTATGAGATATACAGATTTTGGTTATATATATTTAGAACAAAAAGACTGGTTTATCTAATGTAAGAACAAATAAGTTCAAATTTGAGTTTTTCTACCTTGTTACATAATAATGTAGGTGTGTGTGACCTTCCACCTCATCAGCTGGTTTGAACCCCAATATGTAAGGGTTCACTGAGACTAATATGTTTAAATCCTATTTATCTAGGTTTCCATAAAGTGAGTTGGAGCAGGTCTAACCTTCAATAGTATTTTCAGAAACTCCCTTGTGTATAAAAACATTTGAACCTGAATTTATTATCCCTTTTACTATGTAATGGCACTCAAAAGTAGTACTAACTTTTAGATGTATACCGTTGCATGTGCCCACGGAGAACTGGACACTTGGTTGGTTCTTTTTATACATGAACTGACCCATTTCTGTCTGGACTTCCTAAAAAAGAATTTCATCAAGAGTTTATTTTGCTAATTTGGTTGTTTAAAGTGTTGTAGCATCATGGTATGTCACTGTTCATTTTTTCTATATTTGTACTTATCAATCATTGTTTTCTAGTATGCATGCTTTCTCTTATTCTAATACAGACGACTTGGTATGTCACTACAGGAACCATTCTATTGGTGCAGTGAAATTAATCATGTTCTTATACTTTCTTGCAGCCACGGTTGCAAATTTGACGGATCTTGGTTTCTTATGGTTCAGAGAATTTTATTTGGAATCTTCTCGTGTTATTCAGGTAGATGATCATTATCTTTACGATGGTTGATTGTATCTAGAAATATTGATTACTACACACTTTTTGCAAGGTCTAGCTGCTTTGTGCTATTTAGATCTTTGGGGTGATAAATGTTTTAAATGTATTTTTCTTTGCATTTCACCAATCTTGTGAGACTAGCTCCACCGACCTATATAAGCCTGTCAAGATATGTGGTCTGTAATATGTGTTATTTTGATTCACCTTTTCTTTCTCATATTTTATGATAACCCATGTTTCTCCTGCAGTTTCCTATTGAATGCTCCCTTCCATGGATGCTGGTGGATCATGTAATCGAGTCTCAAGATGCAGGTCTTCTTGAGAGTGTTTTAACGCCGTTCGACATCTATAATGATGCTTCTCAACAGGCATTGCAGGTCCTCAAGCAACGCTTCCTTTATGATGAAATTGAAGCTGAGGTAATTAAAGTTAAATCAATGAAATTGTCCTCTTGGAGGGTTTTAGACAATTTTCCCTCTAATCTTCGCTTATACTTGTAGCTATTACTTGGGGATCTTTTAGATGGTGAAGCATCCAACAAAAAGCTGGTCCCATAACATTACCCCGCCTTTGCTTAGCCTCTTTCTCTATCAACATTTATATATATGATAATATCACGAGTGGATAGCAAACAATATAATGCAAGACTAAGAAAGCAATCTGATCAGGAACTAGTTAGGAACATTGAGTGATGAACCAAACAAAGTGTGTGAATGTGGACAATCTGTGATTGTCAGGGTTTCACAACCTACAGACAACAACTACAGCTGTCACCAATCTGTTTTCGTAAATAAACTATTTTGGTGATGTTTAAAGATGCTACGTATTCTCAACTACATGTTTGGAGATGATATCACAAAAACCTCCTATCTGTCAATGAGATTGAATAAGATTACGGAGATCGTCGAAAATTACGATTATATATTTTTATTATAATTGTACCATATATAGATAGATTGCTTTTACTATATTTAGTTATGAGTTTGGTTCTATATAATGAGAGAACCTCTCACATAGAGGTGTATTGAGTCTTATTGAATATTATTGTGTATATTTGACATTGTACAGAGCTGGGTTAATTTCATTTTGAGTTAAACTTGCAAACTTCTGTTCTTTGGCGAGCGGCCTCGTGCCGCTTGTTCGAGGCTGCTCGCCTTCCGGTCAAATTTTCTTGTTTTTGATTAGATATCATTGTCTATGTTAGTTTTATATTGGTAGTTTATATTGATAATAATTATCTATCTCCCATTCATACTTTGAGGAGCTTGTGAAACTTCACGTAAAAAATCAGATCCAGAAATTGGAACCACTAAACCAAACCGGGCAATCTTGACTGCTTCTCTCATCTCCATCAATCTCTTCTTGATTGGTTTACTTATTGATTGGACTACCTGCGTGGGTAGTTTGTTATCGGGAAATATCAGAGATGATGACGATGATTTTTGGACGACGCTGGTGGACTGAATATGACTGGTGACAGGTTTGGGAGTGTTGGAGCGCTAATGACTTGAGATGGAGCGGAACAAGTGGCGGGTTTGGGTAGGATTTTGAAGATGATAAAGTCGATTTGCATGGGGATGCTAGGTAGTTGGGCGGCGATGGGAACTGACGTGACTTGCCGACAATAGTCTTAGCTGGTCCGTGGTTTGTTGGCGTGAAGAGGTGGTGACGACCACTGCGCCTTCGTGTGTGGAGAAGATAAGGAGTTGGACCAGGTTATTGATAATGAATTGGACCGGTTTATTGATTAGGTTTAGGTTATGGGCTGTGGATATGTTTGTATTATTTGTTGTAGTTTTAGGTTATGGGTTATTTGGGCTTTCCTTTGTTAGGCTAGATTCAGATATGCTTTGGATTATCTATTTGGGCTAGCTTTATTTTTTTGAACTAACGTGGGCTGTTATGTGATGAGAAGTGTATGTGGATTGTAGGTTTGGGCCACGTTAGGCTTTGTAGGTGTTAGGTTGTGGATTGTATAGTGGATCTAGATTTGGGTTTGGTGGATGGGGTTATAGAATTTTGGGTTTGCAAAGATGCTGCTTAAAAAAAAAGTCCTTTTTGGTTAAGGAGGAGAGAGTGGGACATGGGAGTGCACACCGTTGAGTTTTGGTTGCTTGGACGATGAGCTAGAGTTTTGGATTCTCAGAAGAGGATCACATCTTTGGATTTTTTGTATAGGTTGTTTTGTGAGATTTCTTCCACCTGCAGTATCTGAGTTTTGGCCTGTGTTTTAGCGTTAGAGCTTTTGTCAGAACCCGAATTATGTGTTCGACTAAGTTCTCCCGACAGATAGAATTCACTGTGTGTGTCGGCACACTTTGTGAATTTCTTTTAAAAATTTTTCTTGGGGAGTGTGAGTTCTCTGGAGTATCTTTGGATTGTTCTTTGTTGGTTATTGTACTATTTGTTGTTCTTGGTCTCTCGCTGTCACTAATTTTCGTAGATGATTGCTCTTATTTGGATTTCTACTTCGTGGGCACAAATATTGTCACTATCGCCATTTCACGATTGCAAATTGATGCTTCTACTAGCATGTCAATGAGATTGAATAAGATTACGGAGATCGTCGAAGATTACGATTATATTATCTTTATAATTGTACCATATATAGATAGATTGCTTTTACCATATTTAGTTACGATTTTGGTTCTATATAATGAGAGAACCTCTCACATAAAGGGACATCGAGTCTTATTGAATATTATTGTGTTTATTTGACACTATCCTCTCCTGCAAGTGCAACCTAAGACATGGACAAAGCAAGGTTTAAACAATTGATACTTGTGAGGATTTTCAAAAACCATTCATGCACTAGGTTTTTCAACTTGATAACTATCCAAGTCTAAATTAACTGGCAGTGAGTGGAGATGATCCAGAAACTTGTATACTAGTTTCAGAGATGATCTTTCATTAATGTGGTACAACTCAAAANTGCACTGGACATTGGTGAAAAGTTTTCAATCCAACCGTTGAGATTCATTTCATTGTTAAAGATGACGAGGGTGAAGGTGAATGCAAATTTATTTATTTTAAGATTGTTGCATTGATACATCTCTAGTGTTGTTTCGTTAACATTTCCAGTCTCACTTTCTGTTCTCGGTTTGTCCAAATTTTAATAAAATCTATTAGAAGAGTTACCAGACCTGGCTTCAATGTTACTGGATTGAGAAATTTAATCCCTTCGACTTTTTATGTTTGAGGCAATTGATTATAAAAACTGGAGTATTTCTTTGAGTTTTTTTTCTTCCTCTCAGCGATGAAAACTTTTCTTCCTTTTTCTTTCTATCCCTTACGAAATCATATTATTGTGGTGTATAGTTGCTGGGAAGGACTATTAACCTGAGAAGATTGATCTCGGAGAGGATGAACAAAGTATTCAGAAGTAATATTGAGTTTTTGTTTGATCGTTTTGAGTCTCAGGATCTATGTGCAATTGTGGTAAGTGATGTCGACATTACTTAATTTTTTCCTATCGTAGTAGTTTTTTTTTCCCTTTTATTAATAAATTATTTAATTTTAGGAATTGGAAAGGCTACTAGATGTTGTGCAACTTGCTCATGACTTGCTGTCCAAAGATCTCACGCTTGATTCATTTGATCTCATGTTGAATGAGATGCAAGAGAATGTATCTATTGTTTCATATTCTAGTCGACTTGCGTCTCAGGTATGAGAACACTTTGTTTCATGTTATCTTGAAATCGATATTTCTCCCGTGTCCACTTCCAATATTATTTCTTATGCATAGTTTTTATTTCAAGCCCAAATGCAGTTACTTTATGTTACAAACTGCATTCAATATAGATTGTGAAGGATTGAATTGCCACTCATTATTTTTCTAGCATAAGCTCAATATAGGTCTATGAACACCAAGTCCGTGGAAACAAATAATGAACACAAAGTGTTCTAGATCTAAATGTTAAAAAGTGTGCTATAAAACACGGATAGACTTGGGTCATGAGCACGCTGACACAATTTTTTGAAAGACGAAGACTTGGATATTTTGGTTAAAATAAATTATACATTATATAGGTTTCCTTTTTGCCTGATTTCTGAAGGAAATATTTGTAAAATGACTTATATATCTATACAGTAATTTAAACATTTCTAGACTGACTTGCATCAACTATCTATGTGTTACAATGCTGGTTTGTTTTGAACATGAAGGTCAATTATGGAATTATGGACAATTTGCAGTAATTTGTTAGTATAAGAAAATCTTCAACTACGATAATTTCCTAGTTGTATTTTACTGTTGTTAGATGAAAGATCACCTTCATATGATTAGATGCATGTGCTCTACTGTAAGTTACATAAATAATTCTCAAATATGATTCCAGATTTGGACGGAGATGCAAAATGACTTCTTACCAAACTTCATCCTCTGTAATACAACTCAACGCTTTGTCCGATCATCAAGAGTGCCCCTTGTTCCTGTTCAGAAGCCATCAGTTCCATATGCAAAGCCAAACTTCTATTGTGGTACTCAAGTAAGAAATTATCAATCCCTTTACAGTGGATGGTTAACTGTCTTAATATATGTCTTTGCTACTTTATATTTCATATGAAGCTCCACTTCAATATCTTAATTACAGAAAAGCCAGATGAATTCTCCATTGAATTTACAAGATTTTGGGAAGCACCATCTTTTTTGAATTGTTTAATTTCTTTGCAGGTTTCTTAGAGTTAGTTTTAGAACTAGTTGTAAAAAGATTAAAAGTCTGCCACCCATTCAGGTCATATAGCTTTGAACTTTTCAAAAAATATTTATGTGCATTCATGCTTGAAATGCAAGCATGTAGTACAAAAAATAGAAAATGGAAATCCTACATGGATTTTGATAACATTCTACTCAGTGCAGGCATAATAGCATCTGTATTGTTTCTTGATTGATTGTTCAACTGATTTCTTCTCAAGTCTCCTAATAGGAGAAGGAATAGAGCAATAGGAGTTGGATCATTTGAAGTTTGCAATCCACTTTGATATAATTGACCATCAAATGGTTACATTCTAAGTAACTGTATTACAAATTTAGTAGGATCTGGATTGGTTGGTGAAAGTCTCGATATTTTGGATTGCAAGGTGGTACAATTGCCTATTTCTTATCTCGGGCTTCTTCTAGGACTACAGTTTAAAAGTACACAGATTTGGAACGATATTGCGGAGAGGATGGAGAGGAGGTTAGCAGGGTGGAAGCGTATTTACCTTTCGAAGGGAGGGCATCTTACTCATAAAGTTCACTTTGTCGAATCTTCCTACTTACTTCTTGTCACTATTTCCTATTCCTGTCGCAGTGGCAAAAAGATTAGAGAGGATCCAAAGAGAGTTTCTTTGGGGAGGATTAGGATAGGATAGGATAGGAGAGGAAGTTGCATTTGGTTAATTGGCGTGCGGTTTGTTCTCCACTTAGACTTGGTGGTCTCGGTTTGAGAAGTCTTGTAGTGTTTAATAAGGCTTTGTTGGGTAAGTGGTTGTGGCGATTTGGGGTGGAGAGGGGGAGCTTTTGGAGGTCTGTCATAGGGCCAAAATATGGCGTTACGGAAGGGGGATGGTGCTCAGGTGAGAGACGTGGTCCTTATGGGGTGAGTTTGTGGCGGTACATCCGGCGAGGGTGGAGCGATTTTAGGGATAGGTTGACATTTGCTGTGG